CAAGGGGATCGGAGGATCGCCCATTTTTGATGTTAACGGAGGGGTTGCTTGTTCGCTGGGATGTGGAAGCACAAAAATTTTGTATTGTTGTCCCGAAGGTGTTGCGGGGGAAACTGATTAACGAGGTATATGAGAAATTGCTGCATCTGGGGGAGAAGAAGACCGCGTTGACGGTGGGGAGTGAATTTTACTGGCTGGGAATGTTTAACGATGTGAAACAGCATGTAAAAGCGTGCCAGGAATGTGCACGGAGGACAGCGCCGGCACGGCCATATCGTGTCCCTTTGCAATCGATTCAAGTTTCGAGAGTGAACGAAATTGTGGCACTGGATATTTTGGGTCCGTTTCCCGTCACCCCCCGAGGGCACAGATATTTGCTCGTCGGGGTGGAATACTTAACTCGTTGGCCGATGGCATGGCCGCTAGTAGACCAGTCAGCGATGTTGATCGCTGAGGCTTTCTTGAATGGATACGTATTAGATAAGGGGGCCCCGGAACATTTGCTTACTGACCAAGGCAGAAATTTTTCATCGAAATTGATTAAGGACGTGTGTGACTCGCTGGGGACCAAAAAGATTCGGACGTCCCCATACCACCCGCAGACTGACGGGATGGTCGAACGGCTGCATAGAACGCTGACGTCCATGCTTTGTCACCAAGTAAACACCGCTCAAGATGATTGGGATCTGCATGTTGCAGCGACGCTGGCCGCGTATAGATTGGCCCCGCATGCCTCAACGGGGTACTCGCCATTTTTTCTGATGTATGGACGGGAACCGGAAGCGCCGGCTATTGTGAAATTGGGAATTCGAAAACGGGAGAAATCTACGATGGTGCCTGCTCCAATGCAGGTGGCTTTGGACCGTCTAAGGGAAGCCCGAGAGGCTGCATTACAAAATACGGCACGACGACAAGCCGCTAACGAAAGATTGTTCGGCAGGCAGCGGCCACGAGAGCCGTGGAGTGTTGGAGATAAAGCCTGGTTGCACTGCCCCATGGTGCCGGTGGGAACGTCCCCGAAATTTCACCGCCCCTGGCAGGGGCCCGTTGATATTGTGGAGGTTTTACGGGATCAGAGTGTGCGAATAAAATTCAGTCGTCGGACATGGTTTGTTCACCCGTCGCGCCTGAAGAAATTTGTGTTACCATATGATGCGCCATCCCCCATCCGAGAGCGGCCTGTATTGGATGTGTCCGACGAACCTGTGGGGAGGTCACAAGTGCGTGTGTCCCAGAGATCTGCCCCCCGTGTGCCTGCAGGATCGCCCTTTTTGGGCAGGGTTACCGACCAGACGCCGATTGAACGGCCACAGATCCGGACCAATGGCCGTCCCGACCGGGAACGACGGACAGCCCCGCCAGCTGTCGCTGGGACAGGGATGGGCGTAGGGTTCATTGGCAAGGCGAGCGAGGCCCTCCCTTACCGCAGGGTATCCCGTGCAGGGGAGATGAACCGGCAGCGGGAACCCGTTCCAGGAGGAATACAATACATTGACTTTGGGGGTTGGGAATTCTGTATAAAGGTGGTGGGTGCATGTCGTTGCGTGAGTGTACAAAATGGTTGTATATTGCAAATGCGTTATGTATATATGTTGTCATCGTTCCGTCCGCTTCACTCCACTACTCCAATTCGAGTATATCGTAACCGGGGACGGCTAGGTTCTTTCATCACGGGGGGGGGGGGGGGGGGGTGGTGATGTAGTGGAGTAGACAATGCGCATAGGAATTGGCCATATACAGTACATACAGACAGACAAGGAGAACGGGTCACACGAGGTCGAACAGGTGGTCGAGTCGCGAGTGGCGTAAACAAACCCAAGTAATTAAGGGAGTCGTGGCACGAGGGCTGTGATTGGTCGAGAGCTGTTAGCGTTAAGTGGTGGCGTCTGGATGTCTGAGGAAGGGGACAGGTGCGGGCTGGCGGGAAACGGCCAGCGAGCCACGTGGCAATTAATTAAGGCTAATGTGAGAGGGGCTAAAACGCGAGGTGGTTTGAACAGAGAGGAGTTGCTGTTGGGGAGTTGCTGTTGGAGAGTTGCTGCTGGGGAGTTGTTGCTGGAGAGTCGTTGCTGGGCAGTTGTTGGCGAGAGGTGAAGAGATACGAAGAAGACAGCTGGAAATGTTAGGGAAGAATAGATAGAGAGCCGGACCCCAAAGACAGTAAATAGCGATAGGGAGAGTCAGCGTTAGCGGAGATAGAGTCACTGTGTGTGAATAGATGTAAGTCACTGCGTGTGAAGAGATAGCGGCGATACTGTGTGTGAGGAGATAGAAGACGAACCACTGTGTGTGGAAGGGAAGTCACTGCCTGTGAAGAGATAGCGGCGATACTGTGCGTGAGGAGACAGAAGACGAACCACTGTGTGGAAGAGATAGAAGACGAACCACTGTGTGTGGAAGGGAAGACACTGTGTGTGAAGAGATAGGCGAAGAAACACTGTGTGTGGAAGGGGATGCACGGACGATGCTGAAGTAATTCGGAGTGTCCGAGTTGGCGGAGCACGGAGAGAATTACTGTGTGTATGGAACGATGGAATAAAAGTGACGGCGGAAAAAGAGACGGTTGTCGTCCGAGTGAATTCACGGCACTACACGTGACGATCGGCGTGTATTCAATCATAAACGATTGCTTGCGCTCGCCGCGCGCATCTGCACGGCGGATTAACGCGGGAATATTATCTACACGATCGTCATTGTGCCCGGTGCGTGCGCTTGCATGAGGCTGCGCTGCGTAGTGACTCCGTGACTTCGCCCGCATCCGCGCGGCCGCCGTGCTATTCTTATCGCGAGCAGTCGGGAGCCAGACGAGCAGGCACGCGCGTGCACGCAGCCACCGCAGCGTGAGTGGTGGTTTATTCATGCGGCTATATTTGTTAGCGCGAGGCGTGGTGAGCAGCGTGCACCCGCACGGGTACGCGTGTGCAAGTAGCCACATCGGGATTAGTGGGGGTTTACGTGGGGAGTGTGTGGGATAACCCGAGGCGGCGGGGAGCCAGCCACTAGCCATGTCCCACAGAGAGGACGCTGGGGCAGGGGGGCCGATCACTCCATCGGCGGCAGCCCGGCGGGGAGTTGAAGAGGCGGAAGGGGGAGAGGAAGAGGGGAGCATCAGCCCCCATAATACCAGTGTACAGTGTACTCCACATTTAATGCAACAAAGACAAAGATCCCCCGAATAGCCTTAACAGATTGTTGGGGCAAATGTTGTTCGCGAGTACCCATGAAGGCCAGAACGGTACGCATGGGGGTGGGTGGCAAGCAGTACGCACGACCGCCTTAGTCTCCCCAGTGGCGATATTTTACACACCACACGAAGTAATCATTTCAGGCGAACAGGGAAAGGCCCCCAGGGCCCATTCAGATAATCGTCAATGTTGTTGGCCATGAGCGGGAATCAAACTCAAGCCGTCAAGTTCGTAACTCAGCGCCCTACACTCATGCTCCCCTATTAAATATAACATGCACACATAAACATGCACAGACAAATACAAAACACAAATATTGACGCAAATACAAATTCACAAACAATGTAAAAATAATATCCTAACGCTCACAAAACGCACCAAAAAAACCCATTAAAACCGACAAACTGTGCCAACAAAAAATACACACGAAGACAATAATCCCCTTAACCACTAAGTGGCGGTGACGTCACCATGGCACTTGTGCCATGCTAGGTGCACTTTGAGGCCACGCAAAGTGTCTCAAGCCTGCTGGCAGAACAGACCCAGGTGCAATGGGTTGACTGAAATGACTGGAGGATGCACCACAAAGACACGCACATTCACACTATCACAGGAAGAAATCAAATGTGATGTGGAAATGCTTAAAGTATTAAAGAACTTAGCTTCGGGAAACTTGAGATGATGGATGCCTATGGTCCCACCACGTGCACACTACCTCCATCATCATTGCCATCACCACCATTACCACCACCATTACCACCACCATAACCACCACAATCATCGCCAACACCACTGTTATCACCACAATCACCAACATCATCGCCACCATCACCATCTCCACCATGCCCTGCTGCGAAGCAGATGGAGATAGGAGCCCGATGCAGAAAGAGGTTTGAGTCTATGGCGAGGCAGCTCAGCTGGGGAACCGTTGGAGTCGTTGATCTCGGCGCTGGGCTGAGGTGCCGGGTGGTTGCATCGTGGGGTGCGCGCAGGGACCCATGGTCTCTGCTTAGGCAAGAGCAACACGCTGCTGGTGATGGTGATGATGAGACTGTAAGAGCGATCCTTGAAGGTCGTGCCGATTGTGCAACGGGCAGCTTTATTGCGGTCGTGCGTATCACATCAAGTCAGCATCTGCAACATCATCATGAGCTGCAACATCACCAGCAGCCACAATATGATCATTCGGGCCATGCGTTGATGCAATTCGCATCTGCATTCAACCTTGTAGGCTTACAGACTGCTTAAGTGCTGTTGGTGAGCATTTATTAAGGCTGGCACTCCACACTCACAAACACAGCCAAATATTGATTCACTCACCAACTCAACCCACCTACTCACTCTTTCATCCACACACTTACAAACCCACTCACCGTATCGCTCACTCGCGCACTCACCCACACACTAAAACTATTAAAACTAAAAGTATTTTTATTTTAAGAAGTAAAGCCTACAGCCGTTAGCTCTTTTTCACAAATGAAAGCTCAACCAAGTGGTTTATTACGTGGAAATGTATAGCAGCCAAATACTCTAAACGCATATTTCTAATTGTGGCGGGAAAAACCGGAGGACCCGGAGTAAAAACTACAATGGAGAGAACATGCAAACTCCACAAATACAGGCGTCAGGGTTGGAATCCAACCCACGACATCCTATACACCAAGCGAGGGAGATAACATCTCACCACCGCGGTGCCCCGCCCATTCACTCAACAACCCACTCATTCATTCACTCACCCACACTCACCCAGGCACTTAGTCACTAACCCACTTGCTCACTCACCTAATCACTCTCACTCATACACCCACCCAACCATTCACCCCCCCCCAACCCATTCACTCACACACCTACTCACCCACCTGCCCACAAACTCGCTCACTAACACACTCGCCCACCCACTCGCCCACACACCGACTCGCTCAACCACTCACCCACCAACCCACTTGCTAACCCACTCAGCCACCGACATCATCACCACGGGCATAGTGGTGACCTTAGTGTCATGCGGCAGAGAGCACGGGTGAGCAGAAGAAGTCGAAGGCGAACCGGAGGGCGCTGCGCAGGGCGGCACGCCAATCCCGCTCCACCTTCTCCTGGCGTGCCGACGTAGCCGCCGGCTCCAGCCTCCGTATGCAGCTGAGGCAGCGCAGGGCACGCAGCTCGAACGCCGGCCACTTGCTGCCCAGCCGCCCCTCCAGTACAGTGCTGAACTCGATTACGCTGCCCTGCTTCAGGGGCAGCAGTGCTGCACGGAACTCACCGCTGGCGCGCAGCACCACATCCTTGGTGGGGTCCTCCTCTGCCAGGTTGGTCTGGTTGTTGTTGTTGCTGTTGCTGGCGGTGGCGCCGTCTTTCGGCGGTATCGGCATTCCCACCGTGATTTCAAACTTGTAGCGGTCAAATTTCTACCGGGGGGGTGGGAGAGAGAGGTATAGAAAAGAGTGGTGAGGAGGAGGGGATGGAGCGTGCATCATATCCCCCTGTCTCACAGTGGACATCGCTAAAGCCACCACTCCCTATATTCAACTGCTGTGAGGTCTAATGCAGAGATGCCGAAGGCAGTGGGTCTCAACCTATGTTGGCTAAAGTACCCTCCCATTGATTCTAGATTTAAAGCTTTCGTGACTGCTAGGATCCATACTCTTTGGTTCTATTGGGTAAAGTCACGTAGGTAAAAAATAAAATAAAATAACAAAAATCACGACGTTTCGGCCACAACACAAGCGGCCTTCATCAGGTGAAGGGACGAGACTGTCTGGAGGACAGCGCTGGAGTGAAAAAAGCCACGCTCAGATCACGACCTTTAAGCTGTGTGAGAAGAAACAAAGCGCCATGACAAAGGAATTAGCATATAATTTAGCATTGAAATGGCTCATTGAGATAGCTAAGTGAAAGTATACACATCCGCAGAGGCACCCCTTGACAAAGGAATTAGCATAGAATTTAGCATTGAAATAGCTGAGTGATTAGCTTGTAACTGGTCACAGAAATAGCTATGTTAAAGTCAGAGCATATACATTCACCGAGGCACCTAGTACAAATCAAACAGGAGAATTTAGCGAAACACAACCGCGCTCAGACCGCGGACCTTTAAACTGTGTGCGAACAAACAAGGTGTCCTGACAAAGAAATTAGCATAAAAAATTAGCATTTGATTGGCCGACTTAGCATAGAGGTGGTGTACATGCGGGTGCACATGCCGATTGGCGCGGGGGGGGGAGGGGGAGTTTACCTATTGATGGTGTGAAAAGGGAATTTTTAAGAGCTGCGAAAGTTTGGGGTACCACTACTTGAAAAATATACTGTACCACTGAAATGAGTTTAATGTTTAGTTCGATTTAGAACATCTTTCCAATGGTTGCTTAATTTGAAACCATCTTCTCGGTTGAAATTGTGTCTGTGTTTGTAGATCTGAATTGCCTCGTGAACAAATCTCTGATAAAAACCCGTGGGTTTGCAAAGAACCTTGGTATCGGAGAAAATTATATCGTGATCACCCACAGCGTTGTAACAGTGATCAGCCACGGCAGAAGAATTCGTTTTGCCGTGTTTCAAATCTGATTTGTGCTCGCGAATTCGGTCAGAGACATGTCGCTTTGTCTCCCCAATATAGCAATCACTGCAGGTACAACTCAATTTGTAAACCCCGGGGTACTGTAAGTCAGGAATGACATCCTTCACGGACGGGATCAGATCACGAATTTTGTGTACTGTATTGAACCGGACCTGGATCTTGTGTTTGTTTAGAATTTTGGAAATCTTTTTAGTAACGCCTGCTATATATGGTAGTGTGATGGTTTTGACCGGAGTATCAAGTGGTTGTTTCTGTATGGAGGGAGAAACAGCTTTGCAGATGGTATGGTCAGAGTAACCATTCCTATTGAGGGCCAGGTGTACATGTTTTAATTCACTGGTCAGGTGGTGTTGGTCCGAAATGCAATGAGCCCTATGGTATAAAGTTTTGATGAGAGAATTCTTTTGGGCTGGGTGGTGGTGAGAATCAGGTTTCAAGTAGGAATCTGTGTGGGTGGGTTTCCTGTAGACAGAATGCCCCAATGAGCCATCAGGTCTCCTCTCAAACAGAACATCTAAGAATGGTAGCTTGCCATCTTTCTCCACTTCCATGGTGAATTTGATGGCGGGATGTCTGGAATTGATGTGGTGTAGGAAAAGGTTCAGAGCTGGGAGGCCATGTGGCCAAATGACGAAAGTGTCATCCACATATCTCTTCCACAGGGAAGGTCTGAGGGTGGAAGTCTGGATGGCGTCTGATTCAAATTTCTCCATGAAAATATTGGCTATCACTGGTGATAAGGGGGATCCCATAGGGGTACCCTCATTTTGTTTGTAGAAGGAGCCATTCCAAGTAAAGTAGGTATTGTTGAGGCAGTGCCTAACCAGTGCAGGTGTGTCGGGTTCTAGTCCATGTTGGACCAAATTTTCAATTATTTCAATGATCAATTCCAGACATCCCGCCATAAAATGCACCATGGAAGTGGAGAAAGATGGCAAGCTACCATTCTTAGATGTTCTGTTTGAGAGGAGACCTGATGGCTCATTGGGGGCATTCTGTCTACAGGAAACCCACCCACACAGATTCCTACTTGAAACCTGATTCCCACCACCACCCATCCCCAAAAGAATTCTCTCATCAGAACTTTGTACCATAGGGCTCATTGCATTTCGTACCAACACCACCTGACCAGTGAATTAAAACATGTACACCTGGCCCTCAAAAGGAATGGTTACTCTGACCGTACCATCCGCTAAGCTGTTTCTCCCTCCATACAGAAACAACCACTTGATACTCCGGTCAAAACCATCACACTATCATATATAGCAGGCGTTACTAAAAAGATTTCCAAAATTCTAAACAAACACAAGATCCAGGTCCGGTTCAATACAGTACACAAAATTCGTGATCTGATCCCATCCGTGAAGGATGTCATTCCTGACTTACAGTACCCCGGGGTTTACAAATTGAGTTGTACCTGCGGTGATTGCTATATTGGGGAGACAAAGCGACATGTCTCTGACCAAATTCGCGAGCACAAATCAGATTTGAAACACGGCAAAACGAATTCTTCTGCCGTGGCTGATCACTGTTACAACGCTGTGGGTGATCACGATATAATTTTCTCCGATACCAAGGTTCTTTGCAAACCCACGGGTTTTTATCAGAGATTTGTTCACGAGGCAATTCAGATCTACAAACACAGACACAATTTCAACCGAGAAGATGGTTTCAAATTAAGCAACCATTGGAAAGATGTTCTAAATCGAACTAAACATTAAACTAATTTCAATGGTACAGTATATTTTTCAAGTAGTGGTACCCCAAACTTTCGCAGCTCTTAAAAATTCCCTTTTCACACCATCAATAGGTAAACTCCCCCTCCCCCCCCCCGCGCCAATCGGCATGTGCACCCGCATGTACACCACCTCTATGCTAAGTCGGCCAATCAAATGCTAATTTTTTATGCTAATTTCTTTGTCAGGACACCTTGTTTGCTCGCACACAGTTTAAAGGTCCGCGGTCTGAGCGTGGTTGTGTTTCGCTAAATTCTCCTGTTTGATTTGTACTAGGTGCCTCGGTGAATGTATATGCTCTGACTTTAACATAGCTATTTCTGTGACCAGTTACAAGCTAATCACTCAGCTATTTCAATGCTAAATTCTATGCTAATTCCTTTGTCAAGGGGTGCCTCTGCGGATGTGTATACTTTCACTTAGCTATCTCAATGAGCCATTTCAATGCTAAATTATATGCTAATTCCTTTGTCAAGGCGCTTTGTTTCTTCTCACACAGCTTAAAGGTCGTGATCTGAGCGTGGCTTTTTTCACTCCAGCGCTGTCCTCCAGACAGTTTCGTCCCTTCACCTGATGAAGGCCGCTTGTGTTGTGGCCGAAACGTCGTGATTTTTGTTATTTTATTTCATTTTTTATCTACGTGACTTTACCCAATAGAACCAAAGAGTATACCCTCCCATTGCTTAATTTTGTTTCAACCGAGTACCACCCCCATGCCTGACCCAACATGGTTCTGAGAAATAAATGTATGAATAATGAACATCAATATTTCAATCTATCCTCACGAAATTACGTAATTTTTTCACCCTCGCTGGTTCCTCTTGTAGCCCACATTGTTCACGATCAATAAGTCCAGAAAAGTATTTTATATTGTTCTAGGTTACCATATGGATTTAAATTTTATCGTAGTTATTTTATATTGGCAGATGCATACGTGATTATTTACCAATGGTGCTCATATATGGTATAATTTCACACATTTCTAAATCACCCCACGTATCTCCAGGGGTCCGCGTATCCCCAGGGGACCGCGTATCCCCAGTTGAGAACCACTATGCTAAGGGACTGTCCTGCATTGCTCACAACCCCCTGCACCCCTCAAAGCCCCCTGCACCGCTCAAAGCCCCCTGCACCGCTCAAAGCCCCCTGCACTCCTTACAGCCCCCTGCACTCCTCACAGCCCCCTGCACTCCTCAGAGCCCCCTGCACCGCTCACAGCCCCCTGTACCGCATACAGCCCCCTGTACCGCTCACAGCCCCCCGCACCGCTCACAGCCCCCCGCACCGCTCACAGCCCCCTGCACCGCTCACAACACCCTGTACAGCTCACAGCCCCCTACAGCGCTCACAGCCCCCTGCACTGCTCACAGCCCCCTGCAATGGGGGTTGTGGAGGTGTGGGGGGGGGTTCAGAAGCGGGTCACAGACCCCGCATCCAGGCAGAACCTCGGCATCTCCGACTCGGCAATCAGGAACCTTCATGTGGCAGTCGTGTCTGGTGAGCGACTTGAGTTGGCACAGCTCCTGCGTGGTGATCACTCCGAGGTTGCTGTCGCTGTTGTTGCCGTTGTTGTTGCCGGTGGTGGAGGAGGTGGAGTTGCACGCTGGGTAGCGCTCCCCGTACACGCATCGAAGCCAGTCGCCCAGGAAGGTGGGCAGCATGTCCACCGAGGTCTCGGCAGTGTTGTCTACCTCGGTCACACGTACGTACTGGTCGACAGGTAGAGATAAGGGCGAAGGGATACGGAGTCTGTAGGGGCAAGCGCTGTAAGCGAGTAGCAGCACCTATGAAAGCCGGCAGTGCCCATGTGGGGGTGGTGGCCAGAACCACGCCCGGTCGCCTTTGTCTCCCCAGTGCTGATGGTTTAAACACGCTGCACCAAGTACTCATTTGAGGCTAAGTCAACCTAGGGCAGGCCCAGGACCGGTTAAGATAATCGTCACTGGTGTTGGCCGTAAGTGGGAATTGAACACTGGTCACCGGGTTCGTTGCACAGCATTCTAACTGCTACACTACAGCTCCCCACATATATAACCGCCATTCGCCACTAAGTGGTGGTGATGTCACCACGAAGCTTGTGCCAGGCTATGTGCACCTTGAGGCCACGTGAAGTGTCGAACGCCCGCTGGCAGGAGGTCACGGGACAGACCCAGGTGACATGGGTTGACTGAGACGACTGGCTGGTGCATCACTTTTGCCCCCTACTGTGCCAACTTGCTGTGCTTTAGCCACCCGGTGCTTCGCTCCTCCGCCCTCCGTTGTTGTTGGAGAGCGACTGCCTCCAACTGCCCAGTAGCATCCTTAACGAGCCTCCTCCACAGAGGCCGATCTTGACACTGCTGGTACCAGTCATCGGCAAGTCCACTCAGCTCCACATCCTCCTGTACCACATCACTCCATCTCTTCTCACCGATGGGACTTTGTCCAGATCTTTCAAGGATTTGTGAGCTCCTCACATAATCAGTTTCAAGGACAATGCATATATTTCGATTTAAAGCTTTCGTTACTGCAAGGATTCATCCCCAGGGGTCCACGTATCCCCAGGGGACCGCGTATCCCCAGTTGAGAACCACTAGGCTAGGGGACTGCCCTGCATTGCTCACAACCCCCTGCACCCCTTGAGTTATTTCAATGCTAAATAATCCTGTTTGATTTGTACTAGGTTTCTCTGTGGATGTGTAAGCTTTGACTTTAACACAGCTATTTCTATGACCAGTCACAAGCTAATCACTCAGCTATTTCAATGCTAAATTCTCCTGTTTGATAGGTAAACCCCTTTGTCAAGGTGCCTCACTCCTCTAAACCAGCTTAAAAGACGCTACAAATCTTAACAACGTTCATTGAAGCTCTATCGTCCCGACAGGTCTGTTCCTTTCACCTGAAGAAGGCCACTTGTGTTGTGGCCGAAACGTCGTGATAATTTTATTGTTATTTTATTAATTTATTATTCTATTCTCATTCTGCGTGACTTTACCGAAAGAACCAAAGAAAATGCATATATTATCATAGTATGTTTTTTGTTTGCATTTTGACTGCAGGTATTGTGGTTAATGCAGACATGAATCCTTGTAAAAAAAAAGGTTTCAGTTTTGCTGCCAGAAAAAATGGGAAAAACCCTTTTATTACATTTTGGTACTGGCAAAGGAGGTAAAATGATGTAGATGCTCACCCCGAGCCCTCATTACTTTGAAAGTGCATTGTCTTTGAGCTGTACGTCTTTTGGCGTCATCTGGTCGAGCACCAATTGGGTCGAGGCTCCAAAGAAAGCCGTCCCTTGGTGTGGACCAATTCGTTTCAAGGACAATGTATATATTATCATAATGTTTTTTTTGCATTTTGACTGCAGGTATTGTGGTTAATGCAGACATGAATCCTTGTAAAAAAATGTTTCAATTTTGCTGCCAGAAAAAATGGGAAAAACCCTATTATTACATTTTGGTACTGGCAAAGGAGGTCAAATGATGTCATTTACATTTTGTATGGACGCCTTATTATTTATATATATTTGTGCATGTCAAAAACGCCGCGGTCCCTAAACTGTGGAATCGGGTAGCACAAAACGCAGGTGCCGCGTGTCTCAGGCGCCATTGACGTACTTCTCGACTGTGAGTTAAACGAAGATGTTAATAAAACCGTGGAGAAGTTTAAATCAGATGCCATCCAGACATCCACCCTTCGTCCTTCCCTGTGGAAGAGATATGTGGATGATACTTTCGTCATTTGGCCACATGACCTCCCAGCATTGAACCATTTCCTAGAACACATCAATTCCAGACACCCATCCATCAAATTCACCATGGAAGTGGAGAAAGATGGCCAGCTGCTATTCTTGGATGTTCTGTTTGCGAGGAGGCCTGATGGCTCTTTTGGACATTCTGTTTACAGGAAGATCACCCACACAGATTCCTACTTGAAGCCTGATTCACACCACCACCTGGCTCAAAACAATTCCCTCATCAAAACACTATACCATAGGGCTCATTGCATCTCTGCCAGTGAATTAAAACATGTACATCTGGCCCTCAAGATGAACGGATACTCAGACCGTACTATCCGCCAAGCTGTTTCTCCCACCATACAGAAACCACCTGAAACTCCGATCAAAATCATCACGCTGCCATACATAGCAGGCGTTACGAAAAAGATTTCCAAAATTCTAAACAAACACAAGATCCAGGTCCGGTTCAATACAGTACACAAAATCCGTGATCTGATGCCATCCGTAAAGGATGTCATTCCTGACTTACAGTACCCCGGTGTTTACAAATTGAGTTGTATCTGCGGTGACTGCTATATCGGGGAGACAAAGCGACATATTTCTGACCGAATTCGCGAGCATAAATCAGATATTAAACGGCAGAACGAATTCTTCGGCCGTAGCTGATCATTGTTACAATGCTGTGGGTTATCATGATATTGTTTTCTCCGATACCAAGGTACTCTGCAAGCCGTCTGGACACCACCAAAGATTTGTCCATGAAGCCATACAGATATACAAACACAGACATAACTTAAACCGAGAAGATGAATTCAAATTGAGCAATCATTGGAAAGATGTGATTAACCATGTTAAACCTCAACCGCTACTCTCCCCCGCTCTGCGTACCCACCCCCTCCCCATCCGTGGCTCCGATGTTTTCCAGCAGCTTTACCTTCCTGGCTCCACCCACACCCCAACCCCCCCCCCCATCCTGTGCCCGTCCTCCCTGGCTCCTCCCCCTCCTCTTACCCTATATAACAGTCTATCATCACAAATAGCGCTCTCTACAGTTATTTTGCTGTGCCTTTTTTACACCTGATGAAGGAAGCTTGTGTTGCCTCCGAAACGTCGTGATTTAATTTAGTTGTTTTCATTTATTTTTATTTTATAGATTTTTTACCTACGTGACTTCACCAGATAAAAAACCAAAGAGAATAAAACCGTTGTTTTAAAAAAACTTTTTTTAAACGAGTTTATATAGTTTTTAAATTTGCATTGCCTTTGTGTTGTCTGCCTTTTTGCATTCTCTGGTCTAACACTGGTGAGACCAAGGCCATAAGAAAGACTGTCTCTGGTGTAGGCCAAACAGTTTCAAACACAATGCACATATTGTCAGAGCATATTTGTTTGCATGTGTAGCGACATATTACGTCACTACAATATCGGGTCTGTACACACATGACGTCACTACAATGTCGGGTCTGTACACACATGATGTCACTACCATGTCGGGTCGGATGACGTCACTGCCGGGTCGGGCAGTGCGGAGGCCGTTGACGAGTGCCACGGGGGTCGTGGCAGGCCGTGGGACTCTTGAGTGACCCCGGCTGGACACGTGGCCGGATCAAGGTGAGGGCCAGGGGCCCAGGGGGGACCTTGGAGTCACGTGGTTGGGGTCCGGAGCCTTATCGAGGGTTCAAGAAGGGGGGCGTGGCCGGGGTGTGGCCGGCCACGCCGAGGGAGCTCATAAGCGGGCACCACTGAGCGAGCGGGGCTGTTCGTGCCTGGGATGAAGACGCCTCATGAAGACTGAAGCCCCCAGTCGTCGTGGCCAAGCAGAAGCCCTCCTGGCTTGGCCACGCCAAGTAGTACCCAAGTGTTAGTGAGACTAGGACGGTGGTCACCACCCTATGTATAGTGTGTGTAACAGTTGTGTGTTAAATAAATAGTGTTGCCTCCACATGAGGGTGTGCGCCTCTATCGAACCATTACACATGTTTTACCAAAAGTATGCCATTAATGCAGACTTGATGCCTTGCAATATGTGTCTATATGGCATTTGAACATCTTCACACGTCCTGTATTATTTCCAGAGGGTAAAGCCCCTTCTTTTTTCAACCTGTTGGAATTACCTACACCTCTGCTGTAGCAGACAGAGAGAGACAATGGCATATGTGCAGGACCTCCACAGTCTGAAACCATATTGGGGCTCCTAAAGCCTCTTCCTCAGCATGTCTGGCAAGGTGATGTTGAATAATTATCCTAGTCTGGCAAGAGGTCACAAGTGCATCTTTCCAATCCTGTGGACCCCTTCCTATGGAGGAAACAGCTGTAATGATGTTCACATGAGAGGCCATCTCTACCTGGCGTTTTACATGGTCTCAAGCTCCGGACCACCTATCGCACTTCCTCAATAGATGACACGTCAGCCAACCACTCACAGGGAGCAGCTATTTCCTTCAATATTTGAGGCATGACAGCACCAGCAGGGTCAACCGCACCTTGCCCAAAGATGATGTTGTTTCAGCCATGGGGTTTCCCCTCCCCAAAACTTCACACACGCACTCCATCACACAGCCGCACACTAAAAACAAAAATAAAGACCCCTGTATAGTCTGAACAGACTGTTGGGGCAAGTGCTCTCAGCAAGTACCTATGAAGGCCGCATCAGCACACGAGGGGGTGGGTGGCCAACACCATGCTCAGCCGTCTTTGTTTCTCTAGTGGTGATGTTTACACACTGCACCAGGTACCCATTTGAGGCTGAGTCGACCTAGGGGATGCCCAGGACCGGTTCAGATAATCGTCACTGGTGTTGGCCATGAACTGGAATCGAACTCGGGTCGCCGGGTTCATAGCACAGCTCGCTAACCGCCACACTGCCGCTCCCCACCGAACACTTCAGACACGCACTCCCTCACACAAACGCACACTCACACTCATTCACATACATTCATATGCAATCCCTCGCAAACCCACTCACATCCACTCTCACACACAGACACAATCTCACCCCTCTTCCCTCCCTCTGACCTTGAAGCGACCACTCCACGTGACCCTGTGACCCTGCAGGTGGCCACACAGCATCTGCACACGCGCCATATTTGTCTCTCTCCACGCGCGCGGCCCACACAGGGAGCCATATTGGCTCCACGTCAGCGTCGAGTTGTAAACCTGGGCACAAAGACAAAGACCTTCCGTGTAGCCTTCACCAGGCTGCTGGGACAAGCGCTGTTAGTGAGTAGCACCTATGAAAGGGGAAGGGTGGCCAGTACCACACCAGCCCGGCCACCTTTGCATCCCCAGTGCTGATATATACCAATACCAATACCCGGCATTCGCCACTAAGTTACGGTGATGTTACCATGGCGCCTGTACCAGGCCAGGTGCACATTGAGGCCACGTGAAGTGTCGAAGGCTCACTGACAGGCGGTAAAGGGACAGACTCAGGTGCCGTGGCTTGACTAAGATGACTGACTATGGGCAACCTGTGCCACCTAGTGTGCGCTTCAGTTACCCGGCACTCCGCTCGTTATTGTGAGCATCACTCCACTGCCCACCACTTTTGTTGGAGGGCGACCGACTCCACTTTCTCCATAACTCCCTGCACTTATAGGATTGAGATTTCACCAGAAAATCCATGGAAAGCTTCTTGAACGTGGTCGAGGAATATGTTAATTAGTGTGGGGCCAGAGGACATCCCTGTCACACCCCAAAGAGAGCAGAAAATGGTTCTGACTCCTGGGCACGCATCTTTACCCAGGACTGCCCACCATCATGAAGGTCCTTAATGATGGTGATCAGAGGTCTGGGACTCCAAAATCACAAAGAATAAACCAGAGCCATGGCCTACTGATGGTATCATAGGCCTTGACCAGATCAATAAAGCAGAGATGTAAGTTTTTCTGAAATTCTCTACACCTCTGCTGTAGCAGATGGACAGAGACAATGTCGTCCTTGCAGGCCCGCCTTGGCCTGAAACCACATTGGGGTGCCACACGCATCTGCTCAGCATGTCTGGCAAGGCGATGTTGAATAATAATCCTTGCAAGGACCTTTCCCATTCTCACACTGATGGGGGAGAAGCTCCAGTAGTTGTTGCAATAAGTGCAGTACCCCTGTTTTAATATTAATTAAAACTCCTCACACACTCACACCACTCAGTCACTCACTCACACCACTCAATCACACTCCTCACTCACACCACTCATTCACTCTTTACTCACACTCCTCACTTACATTCCTCGCTCACTCCTCACTCACTCCTCACTCACACTCCTCAGTCACTTACACTCCTCTTTACACTCATTCAATCACATTCTTCACACTCCTCACGCTCTTCACTCATTTACACCACTCACTCACACTCGTCAAAAACTCACACTCCTCACTCACACACACCACTGACTCACACACTCCTTACTAACACCACTCACTCACACTTCTCACTCACTCACACTCCTCACTCGCTCTACTCACTGACACTCCTCACTAACACCACTCACTCACTCACACTCCTCATTCACACCACTGACTCACTCACACCATGCACTCACTCACACCACTCATCTACACTCCTCACTCAATCACACCACTCACTTACACCCCTCACTCATAGTAAACCTTCGGGCTACTATCAAAGGTTTGTTCATGAAGCCATCCAGATATATAAACATTGATGTAATTTCAACCGAGAAGATGGATACAAATTGAGCAATCATTGGAAGGACGTTATTAACCAGGTAAAACCTTAACTGATTTATGGTGTTGCCTTCATATCTGCATTTCCAGTTTCTTCCCAGCCCCGCCCACTTCCCCCCCCGCCCCCGCGGCATTTTGCCTTGCTCGTTTCCGAATCCCTCTAGCAGCGCTCCACTTCCCCTACCCCACACTACCCTCTCTATCTCTCCTCCCTGGCTCCTCCCCCCTCTCTTACCACTCACTCACTTACTCTCTTCACGCACTCCCCATTCCACTAACTCACACTCCCCACTCCACTCACTCATACTACTCACTCACTCACTCTCCTCGCGCAATCCTCAAACCACTCACACTCCTCGCTCACTCACACTCCTCACTACACTCATTCACTCACATTCCTCACACTCCTCAAGCTTCTCATTCACACCACTCACTCATACTATTAATTCACACTCCTCACTCACTCAAACCACTCACTCACACTCCTCACTCAGTCACACTCCTCACTCACACCACTCACTCACACCACTCACTCACTCGACTCACTCATAAACTCAATCTCACTCACTCACACCCCTGCTTGCACTCATTCACTCACACCACTCACTCACACCACTCACTCACACCACTCACTCACTCACACCACTCACTTACTCACACTCCTCAATCACTCACACCATTACTTACACTCAGTCACACCACTCAATCACACCACTCACTCTCTCAACTCACTCATTCATTCAATCTCACTCATTCACACTCCTCACTATCTCACACGCCTGCTTGCACTCATTCACTCACACCACTCACTGACACTCCTCACTAATTTACACCACTCACTCACTAACTCACGAACTCACACTCCTCATTCACTCACTCACACTCCTCACTCACTCACACCACTCACTTACTCACACCCCTCACTCACTCTCCTCACTCACACTACTCACTCACACTCCTCATTCAGTCACACTCCTCACTCACTCACACACTCACTCCTCACTCACTCTCACTCCTCACGCACTCACCGACACCCCTCACTCATACCAATCACTCACACATCTTACTCACTCACTCACACCCCTCACTCACACTCCTCAGTCACTCATACTCCTAATTACACTCATTCACTCACATTCCTCACAATCCTCACGCTCCTCACTCACTTACACCACTCACTCACACCACTCACTAACACTCCTCACTCACTCAAACTCCTCACTCATTCACACTCCTCACTCATTCACAGGACTCACTCACACCACTCACTCACTCCGCTCACTCATTCTCACTCACTCACACTCCTCCTTACACTCACCCCACTCATTCACACTCCTCACTCACACCAATCACTCACACCACTAATACACTCACACTCCTCACTCAGTCACACCACTCACTAACTCACACTCCTCACTCACACTCCTGTGTACACTCATTCACTCACACTACTTACTCACACTCCTCACTAACTCACACTTCTCACGCACTCTCTTCGCTCACATCTCACTCCACTCCTCACTCCACTCACGCACACTCCTCATTCACTCACACCCCTCACTCACTCACACCACTCACTCACAGCAGTCACTCACACCACTCACTCACACCACTAAAACTCACTCACACTCCTCGCTCACACTCCTCAGTCACTCACACTCCTCATTATACTCATTCACTCACATTCCTCACACTCATTCACACTCCTCACTCATTCACACCACTCACTCACACTCATCACTCACACCACTCACTCACTCACACTCCGCACTCACTCACTCATTCACTCATACACTCACACCACTCACACCACTCACTCACACCACTCACTCACACCACTAACTCACTCACATCATTCACTCGCTCACTCCTCACCACTCACACCACCCACTCACTCTCACCACTTACCTCACTTACTCACTCCCTCCCCCTCCTCACCTTGAGGCCCTCGCTGCGGAACACGTAGAGCCAGCAGAAGACGGCGGTGGCCGTGAGCCACACGAGCGCCAGCTTCACCAGCGAGCTTCGGCCCAGCGAGCGCAGCAGCTGCACGGGCGCCGCGCGGTGGCGCCACGCCAGCCACCCTGCCAACGGCATGGCAGCCAGCAGTGCCGTCGCGCCCACCTGCTCCCCGCGCCGCCCCGGCGGGTCAGAGAAGTTAATAACAACGACAGCAACAACGACAACATCAACGTCGGCAACGTCGATCACAACAACCTCGACGTCAACAACATCACCGTCAACAACATCGTCAACATCATCAACCACGTCATCAACGTCATCATCAACAACATGAATTTCAATGTTAACAATGTCAACAACAACAACATCGTCATCGTGGCCACCACTATTACCGTCACTATCCCCCATCTCCACCACCACAATCACCACCATCACCACAACTGCCATGGCTCCCCACCTTGGTGAGGCCGAGGGTCAGGAACCAGCGCACGGACTGCACGGCGAGCCCGACAGCAGCGCCCACGGCGAGCACGGGCAGCGCGAACACAAAGAGGAAGTAGCCGATGGAGGCCCTGAAGAGGCCCAGGGCGGTGGAGTCCCAGAGCAGGACCACGGCCAGCTCCCACCACAGGAAGCACACAAGGTAGGGCACCAGGTAGCAGTAGATGCCTGCACCCGCGTCAGGGTCACGGCGCCCGCGTCAGGGTCATAATGGGCGGGTCAGGTTCTTAAAGGCTGGGTCAGGATCATAATGGCTGGGTCAAGTTCATAATGACCAGGTCAAGTTCATAATGGCCAGGTCAGGTTCATAATGGCCAGGTCAGGATCATAACGGCTGGGTCAGGATCATAATGGCCGGGTCAGCATTATAATGTGATCCCTAAGTACCCCTCTATTACTGTCGCTCATTATTCAGCCCATGTACGCACCTCCCATCTACATAATTACATCATACGCTTTGTCAAATGCCTCGAGTGAAGGCAGTCTATAAATTACGAATAGATAATGGCCAGGTTAGGTTTATATGACACTGCTGTTGGTGATGATGGTGATGATCCTCCTCCTGCTGCTGCTGGTGATGATGATGATGATGATTCTTCACCTGCTGCTGGTAATGATGATGATGATGACTGCGCTGCTGTGGCCGCTCACCGCGGTATCGGCGCTCGCGCGCCTTGCAGTAGAGCAGGTAGATGAGGTGGGCGTAGAGCAGCGTGGGCAGCCCGAGGTGCAGGTGCACCACTCCTCCCAGGGAGACGGAGTGCACACATGTGCCCAGCATGCACAGCGCCCGCGACACGAGGTCCTCGCCTGGCAGCAGGGTCAACCCTATGTGCACACACACAACGGTCCCCCGTGCAGCCTTTAACAAACTGTAGGGGCAAGTGCTGTCAGTGCTAGCTTGTGAGCATGAGTAGTGTCTGACTATGGCCGAGTGTATCCGTGGCTATGGCCTAGTGCAGTGGTTCTCAGCCTTTGTTGGCTCCTGTACACCCCCTGACCCAACCTATTTCTGAGAAATAAATGTGTGAATAATGAACATCAATATAATGAATAATGAACATCAATGAGCTAGTAACTGCAAGCGAATACAAAAATATTGAATGTACGCTCTGCATGCATGACATAATTTATTCGCGTATGCCGGTTACTCTTGGAAACCACATTGTATACGGCCAATGAGTTTGGGAAGATATTTTATATCATTCTAGGTTACCATATGGATTTCAATTTTATCGTAGTTATTTTATATTGGCAGATTCATACATGATTATTCACCAATGACTCTGACGTACACTATAATTTCACACATTTATAAATCACTTCACGTACTCCCAGGGGTCTGCCTCGTACCCCTGGTCGAGAACCACTGACCCAGTGCATCGGTTCTCAATCTGCGGTCCGCGGACTAATGGTGATCTGCGAGGCTACTACAGGGGGCGTCGGCGCAAAAGACAATGAATTCCCAAAAAAAATGTTGCTTAACTTGACATCAGTTTACGGTTTTTCGGTGAACGTTTCGCCTCCCAGGGGACCCTATGGTTTCGATTGACATGTAGTTCTGGGCCGATTCCTCACCGTTCTCATGATCATTGCAACTCCACGAGGTGAGATCTTGCATGGAGCCCCAGGCCGAAGGAGATTGACAGTTATTTTGTGTTTCTTCCATTTGCGAATAATTGCACCAACTGTTGTCACCTTCTCACCATGCTGCTTTGCAATGGTCTTGTAGCCCATCCCAGCCTTATGTAGGTCTACAATCTTGTCCCTGACATTCTTGGAGAGCTCTTTGGTCTTGGCCATGGTGGAGAGTTTGGAATCTGATTGATTGATTGCTTCTGTGGACAGGTGTCTTTTATACAGGTAACCAGCTGAGATTAGGAGCACTCCCTTTAAGAGTGTGCTCCTAATCTCAGCTCGTTACCTGTAAAAAAGACACCTGGGAGCCAGAAATCTTTCTGATTGAGAGGGGGTCAAATACTTATTTCCCTCATTCAAATGCAAATCAATTGATAACATTTTTGACATGCGAATTTCTTATTTTTTTGTTGTTATTCTGTCTCTCACTGTTCAAATAAACCTATTAAAATTATAGACTGATCATTTCTTTGTCAGTGGGCAAACATACAAAATCAGCAGGGGATCAAATACTTTTTTCCCTCACTGTATCTGTGGCTATGGCCTAGTGAAGCTGTACATAGTCCACCAGACGAAGTCAGAGGGGCTACACTTTTCTTTAATTCTTGCGTGCTCACGCCGCACGCAACCACCCTATTCCAGTTCCCACCAAGAAGCGCCCCGATCGCCCCGGCTCTCCTGGTGACATCACCCCTCTCTCTCCGGGCGTTCACTCTCTCGCCCCACCTTCTCTCTCCTTTTCCTCGTGACGTCATCCTGACACTGTAACCTTGGATCACGTAAGTATTTATACCCTCGGATCATATAAGTATTAGCACTGCACATCTCTTGCTTTGGCCTAGTGTATCCATGGCGATGGCCGAGTATATCAGTGGCTATGGCCTAGTGTATCTATGGTTATGGCCTAGTGTATCCGTGGCTATGGCTTAGTGTATCCGTGGCTATGGCCTTGTGTATCCATAGCGACGGACCGAGTGGGCCTGGTGTATTGATGGAGATGTCTGTGGGCCCATTACCCTCGATGGCTGAGGCAGCCACCTGTGTGAGGAATGTGCGGGTGGTGAATGGCCCACACCGCTGCCTCAGGCTGAGGAAGATGGAGGTGGAGAAGAAGGCGGAGATCAGGGCCAGCTCGGAGGTTGGCAGCCATGACCTGAAACACAAACAAAGTGAAGGTCAAGGGCAGAAATTGAGGTTTATTCTGTGTGACTATGGTCAGAACTCAAAAGGCCACAATAGGAGCCTCATTGCAACAGAGACTTGGGTTGTCACCAGAAAGGCTAAAGTCAAACAAACACACATACCACACAATGAAAGGCACGGGGTGGCCGGTTCACAATGGCCAGTTCGGAAACATGAAGAAATTTTTGTTTGTGATTCAAACCATGGGTCTGGGTCTGTGTGTGGGTCTCTCTATGTGGGTTCACAATGGCTGTGGCCGATTTACAATGGCCATGTCAGTTACTGTAGATTAGCACACTACCTACCTTTGAACCCGGTGACCTGAGTTGCACTGGAGAGACAAAGGCGGTTGGGATAATGTGAACATATGGACAGAGGGCCAGACAGACAGATAGACAGATAGATATGAATGGACAGAGAGATGGAGAGAGACAGACAAATGGAGAAAGAGGCGGATGGACAGGGAGATGGAGGTACCTGTCAGTGAGCGGCAGGGAGAAGATGACGAAGAAGACGGCGAGGATGAAGTGGAGGTATGGCTCCAGGTGGGTCCAGCCGAACTCGCTCTCTGCCTCCTCTATGCTCAGTGCCGGCTCGAAGCGCCGTAGCAGCTCCGTCCACGTGCGGAAGTCGTCCCACGCTCGGCCGCTCTGGAACACCTGGGGGTTGTCACAGGGACGTCACGGGGTCATGGTATGTTTCACGGGATCATCACAGGGTCATGGTGGGGGATGCGGCGTAACGACGAGGAGGGCCCGGGTCTGACTCTTTCTCTCTGCTAAGTCTCTGCATCTACTTGTCTCTGGACGAGTCTCTCTGCGTCTCTGTGCGAGTCTCTCTGAGTCTTCGTGTCTCTAGGCGAGTCTCTCCCCGTCTTCTTGTGTCTCCAGGTGAGTCTCTCCGTGTCTCTGTGAGAGTCTCTCTGCGTCTCCGTGTGTCTAGGCGAGTCTCTCCACATCTCTGTGTAAGTCTCTCTGCCTCTCTGTGTCACGGCGTGAGTCCGTCTCCCTACGCGAGTCTCTCCGCGCGATGGGCACCTTGAGCGTGCACACGACCATTGTGGCGAACGCGAGTGCAAAGACGGCGAGCGGCACAGCGAGTGCGAAGAAGTCCAGGGTGAGGCGGCTGACGACGAGGAACACGAGCAGCGCATTGAGCTGCTGCGTGGGCAGCGCTGCCTGCAGCCAGTGCAGCCCCGCACGCGATGCCGCCTCCAGTGCTTGCTCCTTGGCGTCCAGCAGCGCGCCCAGCGGGTAGCGCAGCAGCTGCACACGCGCCAATGCCGGGGGATGGCGTTAACTACCTCGCCTCGTATACAGGAGGGTGTGGTTGTGTGGATTTTTCTCCGTGCCCTACGGTTTTTTCCTCCACATTTAGAAACATGCGTTTAGAGTATTTGGCTGCTATAAGTGTCCACACAATAAGCCACTTCCTTGAGCTCTCACTTGTGGCCAGGTCACTTCTGAAAAATAACTATATAGCTCAGTGGGCCTTACCTGGTAAAATAAAAATAGTTAGTCAGTAATGGCCAGGTCGAGCAGTCACACCAGGCGGGAGGTTCTGGGTGTTGTGAGTACTCTGTAGTGTAGGGGCAGCTGCCGCTGGGGGTCCCCTAGGCGAGCCTGCAGCGGGACCCTGGAGTCGACTGTGGGAACCCTGTGCAGCATCCTTCTGAGTAGGGGGGTCACGAGATTCGGGAGGCTTCCCAAAGGAATCCCAACACCTGGCCACCACCAGCCGCCGGGTGGTGACGGTGGTGGAGGTAGTAGAGGTGGTGGTAGTGGAGGTGGTGCTAGTTGCGATGGTAATGGTGGTGCTGATGGTGGTGCTATGGTGAGCAGTAGTGTAGCGGTTAGCGCACTGCGCTATGAATCTGGCAATCTGGGTTCGATTCCCTCTCACGGCCAACACAATTGATGATTATCTGAACCGGTTCTGTGCCTACCCTAGGTCGACTCAACTTCAAATGAGTACCTGGTGCGACATGTAAACATTGGTACAAGGAAGATAAAGGCGGCCAAGAGTGGTAATGGCCACCCACCCATTGTGTGGCGTGCCGGCCTTCATAAGTGCTCACTAACAGCACTTGCCCCAAGTCTGTTAAAGCTATATAGGGGAACTTTGTTGGTTTTGATGATGGTGCTGGTGGTGGCGGTAGCAATGGTGTTGGTTGAGGTGATGGTGGATATGGCGGTGGTGGCTATGCTGCAGGTGATCTGTAATCATCCGTGGAGTGTGAAACGTATGGGGATTATTCCACACTCTGCTTCACCACCTTCTCCTGGCAGAGTAAGGTTAGGGCTCTTCCTCGACGCCCACCCATGGGGAAGGGAGATGGAACTGATGTAGAGTGGTGCACCTTGTCGCGTAGAGTCATGCCGTATGGCGCCGAGCGTCCTCCACCGCGATTGCCATCTGAGAGGGCAGTGGAGGTGGCGGCCATGGTGGCGCGGCCTGCAGGGGGCAGGCCGCGAGCGTAGCCCCCCGTCAGCTGCAGGAAGTCGGCCTCCGAGAGGCTGCGCGAGTCTGCTGCCCAGGAGGGAGAGAACACATGCAGCTCAAACCCAGCGGGCCACCCTACAGGCAGACAGAATCAACTTGTCTCTATGTTAATCTATGGGACTCTATAAAAGTCTATGGGCCACTGTGTTAGTCTAAGGGTCTCTATGCAAGTCTGTGGGTCTCTATGCGAGTCTATGGGTCTCTATGTGAGTCTGTGGGTCTCTATGTGAGTCTATGGGTCTCTGTGTGAGTATGGATCTCTATGTGAGTCTGCGGATCTCTACGTGATTCTATGAGTTTCTATGTGAGTCTAGGTCTCTGTGTGAGTCTATGGGTCTCTGTCTGAGTATATGGATCTGTGTTCATCTATGGCTCTCTGTGTTAGTCTATGGGTCTCTATACGAGTCTGTGGGTCTCTATGTGAGTCTATGGGTATCTGCTCGTCTATGGGTCTCTATGTGAATCTGTGGGTCTCTGTGTTAGACTATGGGTCTCTGTGTGAGTCTATGGGTGTCTGTAGCTGGCCATGCCACCCCACTTGCCCCCTCTGTCCCTGCCTGTTCAGACCCCCCCGCCCCCGTGCCCCACTCCTGTGCCCCCCACCATTGGAGTTGAGGAGCCGCGTGACCACCTCGCTCTGCTGGCGCAGCAGCTTGGGCAGCGGAGTCCGGCTTGCCGCCTCTAAGGGTGGGGGTGGGAGGCAACGGGATAGTCACGCCAAGTCATGTATTCACTTTCTCGTCCTCACAGCCATGCAGCCGCTGACTGCGTGCATCGTTGTAAGTTTTGATCAACGTTGCTGAGCGCCTGCCCCCGAGGCCTGCTGGAGGTCCCAAGAGACCTCAGAGGCTCCTGGAAGCCACCTGGAGGCTCCTCGAGGCCCTGGAGGTCCCCTGGAGGCTCCCGGAGGCCCCGTGTGACGGCCTCTGGGGACGCGTGCGGCCCACGGTGGCGGCAGTGGGGGTGGTGGTACCGTGGGCGTTGATGGAGGGGACGTTCTCCAGCAGCTCGCTGGGCGCCACGCGGGCCTTGCGCTGAGGATTGAGGCGCCAGTAGAGCAGCAGTGAAGCCCTGCGCACCGAGCGCTCAAACGCAGACTCCTGCGCCAGCTCCCGCACGCGCTCACGGTTCTCCTCCGTCAGCCCTGGGGGGCGGGGTGGAGATAGTGGGGGGGCCATCAAATAAATGAAAAAATAGTGGCCGTGTCGAGACACTGGGATCATGGGTTCCAACCCTGGGTCTGAGTCTCTCTCTCTCTTAGAAGGTTCATAATGGCCAGGTAGGAGACACTGAAATCCTGGGTTCAAGCCCTGGGTCTGGGTCTCACTCAGCTATTGTTCAGTGGAGATGTTGGATTGAGAAACTATAATGGTCGTTGTGGTGATTGTGTTGGCGATGGTGGTTGTTGTGGTTGAGATGGTGGTGATTGCGGTGGTAATTTTGGTTGCGGGGGTTGTTTTGGTGGTGGCGGTGGTTGTGTTGGTGGTGGCTGTGTTGGCCGTGGTGGTTGTGATGGTGGTTGTTGTGGTTGAGATGGTGGTGGTATTGGTGGTAGTTGTGGTCATGTTGGTGGTGGCCGAATTGGCTGTGATGGTTGTGGTGGTTTAGGCTGTGGTGGCTGTGGTGGTGGTTGTTGTGGTTAAGATGGTGGTGGTATTGGTGGTAGTTATAGTCGTAGTTGTTAGTGGTGGCCTTGGTAGTTGTGGTGGTTGTGGAGGTGGAGTTGGCATTGGTGGTGTTTGTGGTGGTAGTTGTAGTGTTGGTGGTGGTTATGGTGGCAAGGGCGGTTGTGGTGATTGTGGTGGTGGTGGTGGTGGTTGGTGTGGTTGAGATGGTGGACGTGGTATTGGTAATGGTTGTGGTAGTAGTTGTGGTATTGGTGGTTCTTGTTGGTGGCCGTGGTGGCTGTGGTGGTGGTGGTGGTGGAGGTGGTGTGGGCCGCACCTCGCCCCTCGCGCTGGCACCTGCGCAGGAGGCGCACGGCCAGTGCGTGGCCCTGGGCGGCAGCGCGCAGCAGCCAGCCCACCCCCTCCGTGCTGTGCAGTTCCTCCTCCCCCTCCTCTGCTTGCGCAAAGTAGTGCCTCGCCAGCTGCTCCACCACGGGGCATGGGAGCGGTGGAGAGGAGTACGGAGGGGGGGTGGGTGGGGACCCAGGGGGGGGAAAGGGGGGTAGGGGGGAAGCAGGGGGGGTGGGTGACGCAGGGGGTGTGCGGGGCACGGGGTGGGCACAGAGGAGTTGGGGGGGAGTGAGGCACAGGGAGGAGCCCTGGGTTGGTTTGGGGCCGTGGTCGGTGGTGGCGCTGGCTGCACCGCACAGCGAGACGTGCCCTGGGTTCGACTCCCGACTCAGGCGCCACTCAGCGTGTGTTTCATAATTAATTAACTGTGTAACAAAACACTTTTTTTTGTTCCTGGGTAGTAAGTGTTATTTCCTAATTGCTTATGCCTCAAAAGTAAATGGCTATTATTCCCCACAAACTGTGCTTTTGTGACCAGGACAGTGATATTTAGAAATGTACCTATTTTCAATGAGAAAACGTGTGCATTTGTGTCTTTCGTTGACATAACGTCCTATGAAGGCCAACACCAGAACCGGTCCTGGGCCTCCCCTAGGTCGACTCAGGTGTAAACATCGTCACTGGGGAGACAAAGGCGGTCGGGCATGGTGCTGGCCACCCACCCCCTCAACGGGAACCTCACATCACCTCTACCACCATCATCATCTCCACCACCATCACCATCACCTCCACCACTGTCACCTCCATCACCACCCCATCACCTCTAATAATAATAACATTTATATCGTGCGCAATGTTGCGAACCGAAGACGCAATTCTGAGGTGCGGAGCCGAGCTCAGTGTCAGATCGCGTCGCGTGGTTCCAGGGAGACGCGGTTAAATGTCTAGCTGAAGAGATGCACCTTTTGATTATTTTTTAATTAAGAAAATGATGGATCGTTATGGATATTAATAAGGATGGCATTCCAAATGACGGGGGCTGCGACGGATAAACAACAGTCCTTGTCCTGGGAGTTTCAAGAAGGTTTCTACGATGAATTGAAGTGTAAGGCATCAGCAGAGAACTTAGGTACGTAGGTAACCGGATTTTAGGGCACGGTAGCAGAGGCAAGCGATCATGAAGGTATATTCTGGTCGAAATAAGCAGCCAATGAAGGGCCCGAAGGATGGACAGGGAGTCAGGGCGAGGATTGCGGGGGCCGTGGACAACTCGGGCAATGTGGTTTTGGAGGCGTTCCAGCTTATTTTGGTTGTCTGAAGAGGACTGGACGAGGACAGAGTTACAATAGTCGAGCCGCAACTCAACGATGCTGCAGGCGAGAGTGTTTGCAATGTCGGAGGTGATGAGCGGACGTAGATGGCAGAGGGCCCGGAGATGGTAGTTGCAGGACTTGAGAATGAGATTGACAAGGGTGTCGAAGGAGAGAGTGGGATCCAAAGTGACGCGAGAAATGTCAGATGGTCAGAGAATGGAACGACGGAACCAGCAATTGAGATTCCCGAGGGGAGTGGGAGTGAAACCAGTCTTTGCCGAGTGCCAATTAAGATGGCCTTGGATTTGGTCGGGTTTAGGGAGAGGTCATGATCTTAAAACCAGTGCTGTAATGCGGTCAGGCAAGCAAGTCAGAGCAGGCTTGAGAGTCTATAGTTAGACCAAGTTCTAGAGCTACCATAACCATCATCTTCATCACCTCCACCAGCATCACGTCCACTACCACCACTGTCAATCACCATCTACACCATCACCATAACCACCACCTCCACCATCACCACCCCCATCACCACCACCACTACCACCATTACCTGCACCTCCATCACCACCACTCACCTCCACCTGGGCATCAGCAGATCCATCTCTCGCCCTCTGCTTGAGGTCGTTAAGGTCAGTGGCGGATGTTGTCCCCACATCGCCACTACCGCCACCACCGCCATCACCACCTTCAAAACAACATCGCACTACCATCACCACCTTCAAAATAAAATCGCACCACCATCACCAGCTTCAAAACAACATTACCACAACCGTCACCAGCACCACCATCACCACCTTCAAAACATCGTTATCACCATCACCGCCATCACTATCACCACCATCAAAACAACATCGCTATCAACATCATCACCATCAAAACAATTACTCCTGCCAACACCATCACCACCTTCACCACGATCACCACTGCATTAAAAAGCCATAGCAAGTTCACCACCATCACTACCATCAAAGACAAAGATCCCCCCCTGTCGCCTCTTAACACATTGTTGGGGCAAGTGGTGTTCGTGAATAGCACCGATGAAGGCCGGCACGGCACACGAGGTGGGTAGCCAGCACCATGCCTGGTTGCCTTTATCTACCTAGTGGCGATGTTTATACACTGCACCAGGTACTCATTTAAGGCTGAGTCGACCTAGGGGATGACCAGGACCGGTTCAGATAATCGTCACTGGTGTTGACCATGAGTGGGAATCGAACCCAGGTTTCCGGATTCGTAGCACAGTACGCTAGCCGCTACACTACCACTCCCCAGATCACTACCACCATCATCACCACTGCTTTCAAACCAGCATCTGCACTGAACTGTAACTGAGAGAGACCCAGACTCAGGGATTAAACTCAGGTTCTCAGTATCTCCCTCAAGGCCATAATGAAGCCCTGAGAGAGACAGAGAGGTTTAGATGTGAAACCCACCTTGGTGCAGATACCACATCACAGTCCCCTCTCCGTGCTGCTCCTCCATTCCCGCAAAGCCCTCGAAGCAACTCAACTAAAACCTCGTAAAACCAGGGACTTTCCAGAACCTCAAGTCTGGATCACGGTCTAGAGAGACGGAGGAGAGAGGGACAGGGGAGACAGAGAGTGACCAGAGACAGAGGAGAGAGACGAGACAGAGAGTAGCGGAGAAGACAGAGGAAAGAGACAGGAAAGAGATAGAAGAGAGAGACAGAGGAGACAAAGAGACAGAAGATAGAAGCACAGGGAGACAGGAGAGAGACAAAGGAGAGACATAGGAGAGAGGCAGAGGGAGACATGAGCGAGACAGAGGTAGACATGAGAGAGACGAGACTGAGTCGAGGTTGCAACATTGCGAGCCTGGGTTAAGGATAGGACAGAGGGCAAGTTACATCGGGTGACAGGTTTAGAGTTCTAGAGTCCCTGTCATGGAATATTTAGGAAGGTGAGGTTCTACATGGGTTGGTTCCAGAGAGATCTAGATCACTCTAAGGAAAATCCAAATCTATAGTGACTCATGTCTCTAAATATGATATTCTATAGACTAGGATATAAAGATGCGATAATCTACAGACTGTGTTTAGAGATATTAGAATATAGACGAAACAAGGTGCTTGAATCGATATATTGATCAGTTTCCAGAGTCTATGGGCAGACCATTTTCCAGAGTCTATAGATATACTAGTTTCTGAAGTCTATATACAGACCAGGTTCTCAAGTGGAAAGTCATTGCAGGCTCTAGAGTCTATAGCTAGACCAAGTTCTAGAGCCTATAGTTAGACCGAGTTATAGTCTATAGTTAAACCAATTTCTAGAGCCTATAGTCAGAGCAGGCTCTACAGTCTATAGTTAGACCAAGTTCTAGAGTCTATAGTTAGATCAAGTTCTAAAGCCTATAGTCAGACCAGGCTCTAGAGTCTATAGTTAGACCAAGTTCTAGAGTCCATAGTTCACTCGGACCACCAAAGAGACAAACCAGGTCCCAGGATGTGGAGAGCGCAGCTCCTGGACTCCTGTGGGGACGTGAACGCACGGCGCGTGAGCTCTGTGCACGGCACTATTAATACCCACGGTGAATACCGCATCAGCACCGCCGCCGGCGCCAGCGACGCCGCAGTGCAACCTGCAGGCTGGCTCCCAGCCCACCCGCCATCCACACCACCACTACACTCACGGACTAACGATGTCCTTTACTTAGCCAGGCGAGAGCCCCCATTGAGATTCACCGTCTCAAGTGACGGACGTCCTTTATTTGACGAGGTGAGAGCCCCATTGAGGTTTACCATTTCTTGTGAAGTCCTTTATTAACCAGGCAAAAACTCCAATGAGATTCACTGTCTCTTGCGACGTCCTTTATTTAACCAGGTGAGAGCACCCATTGAGATTCAGTGATCACCACCAACAACAGCAGCTGCTCGCCACTAAGTGGCAGTCATGTCACCACAGCGGTTGTGCCATGCTAGGTGTACCTTAAAGCGACATGAAGTCTCAACAGGCATCACCTGTGTTCCCTGCTGTACCGTCACCACCGCCACCACCAAAGCATAGCCTTAACAGACTGTTGGGGCAAGTACATTTAGCAAGCGCCTATAAAGGCTGGCACGGCACATGAGGGGGTGGGTGGCGAACACCACACTCGACGGCCTTTGTCTCCCTAGTGGCGATGTTTTTACACACCGCACCAGGTACTTATTTGAGACTGAGTAGACCTAGGGGAGGCCCAGGACCGGTTCAGATAGTGTTGGCCGTGAATGGGAATTGAACTCGGGTCGCAGGGTTCGAAGCGCATTGCACTACCGCACTACCCATCACCACTACTACTAACACCAATGACACCTGCCGCATCATCACAGGCTGCCCCAAACCCACAAATGAACCTTATGGCAGGACCCGGGGTCCCGAATAAACGTAAGTCAAAATCATAATTTATTTTTGGCGACTCCGTCCCACCGCGCACATAAACGCCGCGACCCACCTGGCGCAGATCCTTCCGTTGTCGTGTCGTTCAAGCGCAGCAGCGAGGACGAATGCGTACAAGAGCTGAACAAGCGAATGCACTCCATGCTCGGGAATGGGCAGGATCGTAAGTCTTATCCAAAGCTGCTCAAATTGCCTACACGACTTAAGTCCTTTGTCGTAACGGTATGCATAATACAGTGAAACTGCTCTCTTATCTTCATTATTATTTGTGACCTACCAATGTCTGCAGCCAGGATAAATCGATAACAATCCTATTACCTGCAGATATTTATCAGATGAGATGCGTTGCACCGTTAATTCCTCCTGTTTGATAATACTTCTCTTGAACGTATGCATCTGTGCAGTTAGTTTTTTTTTGTTGCGGTTAAGCCATAGTCCCCAACGCTCATATGAACAGCGCATTGAAAACGCGTACTATTTTATGTACTGTTTACAAAGTGTGTTCACAAATCCACACTGAGAAACACGATGATTGACAGAGGGGTGTAAAATGTTTATGTATTTAAATAGAGGTACTGCAGGTAAGTAGTTTTCAGTTTTAAAGGCATAGTTTAAAAAGAGAACACTTGCCACCATCTTTCAAATCCATTGGTGAAAAAGAGCAAAGTTTTAGTTTACATTATAATATAATGTGTATGCGAGAGCCGGGGGCTTATGGGACCCCGGGGTCCCGCCATGAGGTCCAAATGTATGTCCTTGCTGGAACAGCGCCACCAGACATGCGGAGAGCAGCAGCAGCAGCCGTGTGCGAGTCTAGAGACGACTGGAGACACCGGACACCCTCCGCACCCGTGTGGTCGTGACGGGGCGACGCGAGACGTGGCGGCGGGGGCGATGGGGCAAGCGGACGACTCCGGGTGCGAGCGAGCGCGGGGCAGGCAACACACGGAGCCCTCCAGGTCGGCTTGGCACCCCGGTGGGGAGCTCCTGCCTGGCCACGTGGCGGAGTTTCGCACTGACACACGACGACCGTGTGGCTGAGAGGTGGCCATGCCACAGTCCTGCCTCTGGCAACACCGCACCCTGGTGTGACTTGCCGACCTTGACAGGTGCCACTTGATAACAGTACTTGCCCCAACAGCCGGTTAGAGGCGACGTGGGGGTTATTATCATGTGTCTGGTTGAAGTGGAGTTTCTGGGTGTGGTGAGCTGTTATGGAAGTGATTGGAAGCAAAAGTCTACGGTTCCCTTTACTTAAAGGGAACCGCAGTGACGCCCAGTCACCCACCCTCGCCGTTAGTCTGGTTCTTTGAGCCCGAGTGATTAATACCGAACCCTATATGGGAGCGAATAAGCCCAGCTCTGTGACCCCCAGTGATTAACAATGAACCCGATGGGAGCCTTAGTCTGGCTGTGAGCCCCAGTGATTAACACTGGCCCTTACGGGAGCCTTCATCTGGCTCTGTGAGCCCCAGCGATTAACACTGACCCTTGCGGAAGCCTTCATCTGGCTCTGTGAGCCCCAGTGATTAACACTGACCCTTACGGGAGCCTTCATCTGGCTCTGTGAGCCCCAGTGATTAACACTGACCCTTACGGGAGCCTTCATTTGGCTCTGTGAGCCCCAGCGATTAATACTGGCCCTTACGGGAGCCTTCATCTGGCTCTGTGAGCCCCAGTGATTAACACTGACCCTTACGGGAGCCTTCATCTGGCTCTGTGAGCCCCAGTGATTAACACTGACCCTTACGGGAGCCTTCATCTGGCTCTGTGAGCCCCAGTGATTAACACTGACCCTTACGGGAGCCTTCATTTGGCTCTGTGAGCCCCAGCGATTAATACTGGCCCTTATGGGAGCCTTCATCTGGCGCTGTGAGCCCCAGTGATTAACACTGGCCCTTACGGGAGCCTTCATCTGGCGCTGTGAGCCCCAGTGATTAACATTGAACCATATGGGACGATGAGTGTGGCTCTATGAGCCCCGGTGATTAACACAGCGAACTGATGGTGCCAGGCTAGGGGCAGGAAGGCACAGGGCAAGGAGCTTTGGGTTGACTGGGACGACTGACAGATGCAACACCTGTAAACACAAAAAAGTTAATCCGTATAGCGTGCTGTTAGCGAGAAGCAGCACCTATGAGGGTGGATGACCAGCCCCGCGCTCGGCCACCCTCGTCTTTCCAGTGCTGCTGCTTTAGACAGCCCACAAGGTACCCACATGAGGCTGAGTCGACCGAGGGAACCCCCAGTACCGGTTCAGATACAGTACTCCCCATCACCGCTGTTGGTGGTGGCCGCGACGTGCGAATCGACTACGCTCACCGCTAGCCCGCCCACCTGCTCACTCACAGACTCACTCACGGCAGCTGCCTCCCTCGCCCACCTTCACTGTCGGCTCGCTCCAGGCTCGCCATGGGACTCCGCCGACACTTCCTCCTCCCACCACCCCTTGCCAAGATGGCGGCGCGGTTGTTGCGGTCTCGCGCTTGAGACATCACGCCTACAAGGAACAGCCCGTACTAAGATGGTGGCGCAATCCCCTGGTCGCGTGTGAGCAACGTCACACGAAGTCAATAAAGCAAATTGAATTGATTTTTGAATTCACATTTAAAGTTAATTGTTGCCGCTACGTTGGCAGTGGTGCACAATTTTTTTCAACACGGTCCCGACGTTTCGGGAAATTACCCTTCTCAATTCATGTGCTCTGACGAAAGGCAGTTTCTAAAAACGTCGTCGCCAAAGTGTTGCAGAGGTCCGCGGTTCAATCCCACGGCTGCCCTGGTTAATATGGTTAATAACACTGCGGTGTTGGAGAACAGCAACCAACCTGGTTCGTCTTGCGATAACACAAAGATCCCCTTATAGCCTTAGAATTTTGGGACAAGTGCTGTTAGCGAGGACCTATGAAGGCCTGCACAGCTCATGAGGCGGGTGGCCAACACCACGCCCGGCCGCCTTTGTCTCCCTTGTTGCGATGTTTACACACCGCACCAGGTTCTCATTTGAGGCTGAGTCGACCTAGGGGAGGCCCAGAACCGGTTCAAATAATCGTCACTTTGTGTTGTCCGTGATCGGGAAAACTCGGGTCGCCGTGTTTATATCCCTCACAATTATTCATAGTCTGCAGTACAACAGGGGGAGAATATAGACATTTCACGTAAAAAGGGCACCTGGGTTGGCAATCGAACCCAGGTGCTTTCTCGTTGTGAGGTACAAGTGGAACCACAGTGCTCTGTGCGGTCACCAAAATTACATCTGACACTTAAAACAAAGAGAAGCGTGGAGTCTCATTGTCATTGTTCACCAGACTCGACGAAGCGCGGCTTATTCTGTCACTGGCGCTCCGGTCACCGCACTCATTCGGTCGCTGTTACTTTTGTCCCATTTGCAACTGAATTATAATGTGTAACAACTACAGTAATTGTTGTGAAGTGTCTGCCGACTCGGAGACAAGTTTCAAGGTAAGGGCTTGCGCCGGTGTTTTATTAAGGACTTACGCCAATTAACTCTAAGGGTGCATCACTTTCCCAGGGGTTAGGGGTCCTAGGCTGGGTCCTCCACTCGGACCATCCACCCGGTCTGTTCCTTAGCTCAGCTGGCTGTCCGGGCTGCCTCCTCCGTGCCGGCCGAGGGCTGATCCAATTTCGGCCGGCCGAGGAGCGCAGCCACTCCTAGCGCCTACGCTGACCCCTCTCCAGACCCTTCTCGTTCCCCACTCTCCGCAACGACCCCGCTTACGTCACGGGCTCTCCTTTAAGTACTCTCTCGAGACATGACGTCATCCCGCTCGCCGGCGCGCATGACGCCACATCCCTGTGACGTCACCGCCCCTGCCAGCGAGCATGACGCCATGTCCCCAACTAGTCCTCTACATTACCCCCCCCCACCCCCGTGAAAAAACACACAGCTGACCCAGCTGAAAGCATCCCGTAAGCGGAGCCCGATTCCGGACTGAAGGATTAACAACACAAAAGGACATATGCGCCCGAAGGCAGAATCGGCTACTAGAAGGGAAAGCCAACATTAGGGTAGCACGGAACAACCGACCGACAACCATCCAACAACAACAAAAACAAAAAATAATAATCGGTGGGTCTCCCACGCATGGCAGCGCCGAACTGGCGTCGGGACCCGGGGCCAGATGAACGACCGTCCCGGCCGTCACCGGAACCGCACACCCCTTGAGCGGGTACGCGCTGCCGGCCCGCTCCCTCGTGCGGTGTCGTTCGACGGCGTCAGTGGCATTCCAGTGGGCGCCAGGCCCCCTGCCGGGGCCTCCGGTGGGCGAGGAGCCACTGCCGGCATCACTGGTGAGGGCTCTGGGGGCACACACACAGGCCGGACATCGCTTCCGTCATCACGACCCAGGCTGTCAGGCATGTCGGACGCACCACTCACCGGTCGCTCCAGAAGTGGGATAGATAGATCCACAGGGCTAGATGGCACATAACGTTTGAGCCGGGATGGGTGCACAATCCACTGCCGATGACCGAACCGAATCCGAACGCACTGCGGCTGTCGGACCTCCACAACCTCCACGGGGCTCTGCCACGGGCGATATAATTTGGGAAATGTGCCCACGGGGACCTGGGGGCAATGCAGCCACACCTTCTGGTGGCCTGCTTCCCAAGGGAGGCCGGCTGCCTGGTGTTTGGGCAGGCGCTCGTTAGCTGCCTGCCGGCTGGTGGAATTTTCAACAGCAGCCTGCCGTGCCTCGCGCAACCGGTCGAGCGCGACCTTCAATGGAGCAGGCACCGCCAACCCCTTCCTGGAGGACCCGACATCCATCTGGATGTGTATCGGGGGTTCTAGTTCCCTACCATTCATCAAATAAAAAGGTGAGAATCCCGTGGAGGCATGAGGAGCCAACCGATATGCCGCCAATACCCCCGGGACAAACAGGTCCCAGTCTGACTGGGACGTGTTCACGTGGTGGCATAGCATGGAAGTGAGGGTGCGGTTCAAACGCTCCACCATCCCGTCCGTTTGGGGGTGGTAGGGCGAGGTGCGGATCTTCTTGGTGCCAAGGAGGTCACATACCTCCTTGAGCAACCTAGAAGAGAAATTCCGGCCCTGGTCGGTTAGCAATCGTTCCGGCGCGCCCTTGTCCAACACGTACCCCTGGACGAACGCCTCGGTGATAGAAGAGGCCGACTGGTCCACCAAAGGCCACACCACAGGCCAACGTGTGAGGTATTCGATGCCCACCAAGAGGCATTTATGGCCCCGTTGGGATGCTGGGAATGGGCCAAAAATGTCGAGCGCTACGAGCTCATTAACGTGAGAAACCCGGATGGACTGCAGCGGGGCCCGATCCTGGCTAACTCCGCGCACAGTCGTGGAAACCCTTCAAAACCAGCACCATGTCACCCTCTGCACCCGGCCAGTAATAGTCCCGTTTAAGGGTCAAAAAGGTCTTATGGTAGCATAAGCTTCTCGTGAATGGCTCGGGTTAATTTACCTCGCAGGCTAGTGAACACAACCACGCAATAGCGTTCCAATTGGGCATCCCAATGCATGAGGAGACCATCATGCACAGCGATTGCCGGGGCAGCCGACGAAGCAGAGCTCTGGGCCTTATGCCCAACACGGTGTCATAGCCTCAGCAGAGAGGAATCCTCTATCTGCAGCTTGGACCATACCTCTCGAAATCCGCCAGCAACGCCGCACCTGGAGGGGGCCCCTCTTCGGCTGAAGCGACCAACTGGGCCGCGGTGTCCACTGGGGCCTTGCAACGGCTAGAGCCCAGGGCGCAAGCGCACTGGCCGCCCGCAGGCAATCTGGAGAGACCGTCCGCATTTCTATGCTGTGCCCCCTTTCTGTGGATGACGTCAAAGAGGTACTTCTGAAGCACCTCGAGCCAGCGGGACAGCTGACCCGAGGGCTGGTCAATCCGTAGAGAATACTGCAAGGCCGCTTGGTCGGTTCGGACCGTAAACTGTCTGCCATACAAGTAGGGCCTGTACAATTGCATGAAGAAAACAATGGCCAGGAGTTCCCTCCGGGTCACACAATACCGCTGTTCTGTGGGGAACAAAACATGGCTACCGTAGGCCACCACCCTCTCCACCCCGTCGACCACCTGGGCCAGGACTGCCCCAATGCCCGTGTCGCTGGCATCGGTGTCGAGGAGGAACGGCTTAGAAAAATGCGGGTACCCCAAGGGCGGCGCATCCGCCAAAGACGTGTGAAGCACCGCAAAGCGGCCTCCTCCTCCATGCCCCAGCGAAATTTCTGTCCTTTGGCGGAGAGTGCGTGCAGTGGTTTCACAATCGTGGCAAAATCGATAATATGATGCGAACCCAACAAAGCTACGCACCTCAGTGACAGATGTGGGAGTCGGCCACGTCCAGACACAAGCCGTTTTCTCCAGATCCGTGGTGACACCTGATGCACTAACAATGTGACCCAAATACTTCACCGATGGCTGCAACAAGTGGCATTTCTGGGGTTTAAATTTCAAGCTCGCAGCACGCACTTTGACGAATACTGACTCGAGGCGTCGCAAGTGCTCATCAAACGTACGTCCAAAAAAAATAACGTTGTCCAAGTAAATCAAACAAGACACCCACTGCAGCCCCGCCAAGACCATCTCCATGAGACGCTGGAAGGTGGCTGGGGCCGAATGGAGACCCATAGGAAGCCGATTGAATTAGAACAACCCCTTGGGGCATGCGGAACGCTGTCTTGGGTCTAGAGGCCTCGTCCAACGGCAATTGCCAGAAGCCTGAGAGCAAATCTAGAGTCGATAAGAACCGCACACCCGAGAGGGCGTCCAGGGAATCATCCATGCGAGGCAATGGATATGCGTCAACCACCAAGATCTTGTTTAATTTACGAAAATCGACGCAGAATCGGAGACTCCCGTCCCGTTTCTTGACTAGCACAATGGGGGCACCCCAAGGGCTAGTGGATGAGGAGATGATGTCCGCCACCAAAATTTCGTCAACAGCCAAGCGAACATGCTCTTTTTCCGCCGGGCTAAAGCGGTGAGAATTCAACCGAATAGGGGCCGAGTCGCCTGTATCTATGTGGTGTTCCAAAAGAGTAGTGTGACCTAGATCAAATTTACTTTGGCTAAACACATCAGTGAACCTCTCGATGAGTTCACGGAGTCGCTGACGTTCCTCGGGGAGCAACGAGGCATTCTTGTTGCACAACGTGGTGATTCACGATGCGTCGGAGTCCCCCGTGCGCATCACGCCCACCACAACCCCTCCATCCGGTGAAGCACTCTCGGGTGGAGGAGCCGGGGTCGTGTGTGCTAGGACGGCGCCGGCCAGAACTACGATCGACGCGGACCCCGAATTGAGGACCTGTAAAAAAAGATTCTGGCCCCCCGATATGGCTGTCAAGGCGCCCACTAACCCATCCGTCCTTGAAAAGTAACTCGACGGGGACAGGAGGATATCCGTCTCCGTGGAGCCCATTTTGAGCGGTCTGCGGAACCTGAGGGGTATCA